TGGATTAAGGTCTGGACTTTGACTCAGCCTTTCCATAACGCAAAATTTCTTCTGCTTCAACCATTCTTGGGTAAACTGACTTGTGTGTTTAGGGTTGTTGTCTTCCTACAAGACCCACCATCTTTTGAGCTTCAGTTCACGGACGGATACCCTGACATTCTCCTGTAGAATTTGCTAGTACAATCCAGAATTCATCGTTCCATCAATGATGGCAAGCTATCCTGGTCCCGTGGCAGCAAAATAGCCCCAAACCATAATACTGCCACCTCTGTGTTTCACAGTTGGGGTGAGGTTCTTATGTTGGAATGCAGTGTTTGGTTTTCGCCAAACATAACATTTCTCATTTAAGCCAAAGAGTTATATTTTCGACTTATCCGTCCACAGAACATTCTTCCAGTAGTCTTCTGGCTCATTGAGGTGGTCTTTAGCAAACCTTAAACGGGCAGCAATGTTCTCCACGGAGAGTAATGGCTTCCTCCTTGCTATCCTCCCATGCACACTATTCTTGTTCAGTGTTTGCCTGATGGTAGACTCATGAACACTGACATTAGCCAGTGCAAGTTAGGCCTGCAGATCCTTAGACGTTACCCTGGGGTTCTTTGTAATCTCTCGGAATATTATACGCCTTGCTCTTGGAGTTATGTTTTTGGGACGACCACTCCTGGGGAGAGTAACGGTGGTGTTGAATTTTATTCATTTGTACACTATCTGCCTGACAGTGGATTGGTGAAGGCCAATATCTTTTGAAACCTTTTCCAGACTGATGAGCTTCGAGAACTCTTTTTCTGAGGTCCTCAGAAATCTCCTTTGATCGAGGCATGGCATGCGTTCACAAACCTGTGTGGTGAAGACCAGACTTTGGTAGTGAAGACTCAGGGCCACCCAAACTCACACCCGATTGTCATCCCATTGATTGACACTCCTGACTAATTATCCCCTTAACTGAATTGATAATCCTAGAGGTCCACATACTTTTTTCGACAAAGACATTGAATGTTTGATCATTTTGATCAATAAATGAATGAAAAAGTATATCCTTTTGTGTTTTATTTGTTTTATTGAGTTCTCTTTATCTATTTTTATGACTCAGATAAAGATCTGATCACATTTTAGGTCAAATATATGCAGAAAGTCAGAAAATTCTAAAGGGTTCACAAACTTTCTAGCACCCATACAGGTATTTTTTTTAATTATGGAAGAAGTAAGGGTTTATTCCTTGCTGAAAAGAGAAAAAACAAACACATTTCGGCTGTGGAGCCTTCTTCGGGTGTGGGCTCCACAGCAGAAATGTGTTTCTTTTCTTCTCTTTTCAGCAAGGAATTAACCTTTTATTTGTTCATTTGCAACCTACGCTTACTGACGCAGCTACTGTACCTACTTAAACCTTTTTGAATTATGAACATTTTTTGTATACTGTACATTTCTAAACTCTGTTGTTTTTTAGTAACATATGGTGCAAAAGCACCATTATATCTAAAATTATTTGAATAATTTAATTAAACATTTTTGTGTACTCAATCGTAACATTGTCATAGTAACATTTTGTACCAGGCAATTTACAGCACATTGATTTATACAGTTTTATGTATTTAAATACATTCCAATTAGTTGTCTTTTGTAGTGTACCATAATAGGGATAACCCTTTTATTTTTAATAGTTCACACTACCTTGAGACACAGAAAGCATTAATTAACAATATGATTTTCAATGTAGGCCTATTTATTAGGCTATTAGGCTATCCAAATGTCATTAGCACCCTTATTTGATAAAATAACAAAACAGTAAGTATAAATTATTTAAGAACCATTTGAGTTCCTGCACAACTTGCCAAAGCTACATGAGAAAATGAGAAAATTTTAGAGATAGTTCCCCTTTACTTTGAAATATGGGTGCAATATATTTGTTGTTGTTTATCCTACCATGATTGTTCAATAAATGAGCAGAGGAATAGGGAGCTATTAATATTCTCTGGCTCAGAGTATGGCAAATACATATACATTAAAAAACTTGGTTTTGCCTGTGTGTAAATTGGACATCATCATAAAAGATTTCAAGTAGAATTAGTACTGATATAGCTTTGATTTGGGTTTGTTTGTCACCTCTGAAAGCCAAGCTCTAAAAAATCCATTTTGACTACTACGCACATGCAGAGATTATAGGTTACTATATAATTATAGATTGACTATATGTACCTTTTGTTTCTTGACATAGAGATTGCACAATCTCTTTCACTAAATGTCCACACCTAACAGAAGGGAAATGTGTCTGGTAAAGAAAAAAATAACTTGAGGTCCTTCTGTTTTTTGTTTCTAGCAATAAAATCATTTGTTTTGAGTCACATTTTAATCAGATTCCCAATCTACATTTTCCCTGATTATCCTATGATTCTTCTTTTGATGTTGTTGCTCTTAAAACAGCCTTTCTTCTTTTATAAAACATTATTTATCACCATCATAGACATCAGGCTTTAGCACCGGAAGCTAGAAAGCTGTTTTCAAAAACAGTTGAAATAGGTTAGGGTAGGACAGTAGACCAAAGATAAGAATTTTGTAAATTCTAAATAAAGGGGCAGTATTGCGAAAGAAGACAAAATTCACATGCTGAGGCATGGATGACCACTCTTTCTTGGGATTGGTTTAGGTTAACAGACTTTATATTTAAATGGACCCTGTGTCATAACTGGAGAAATCATTTCATACTGTCATATAACTGCTAACAGTATAGATATCCTAGATTTAAGGTCTCTTATCATCACTCAGACATGAGGGTTTTATATTCCTTAGGGCAGCAGCTTCTGTTTGATTTTTGCCATTTTTTTCCATCCACAGATATCCTGACACAGAAAAAAATGGTGCTCTTTTATTTTTCTTAACCAGTCATTAAGTACACAATCTTGTGTGAGATGCCATTGATGGTAATCCATTTGTAAAGCCTTGTCAATCAGTTGCCATCACAGAACAGATGAAAGGGGGGCATCAAGACCTTGCCGTACAACTGCACTTTGTTTACATCATTTGCTTAAATTATTTTAGATTTTTAGTATAAACTCTGCCACTTATTCTCTGTTCACCTGCTTTGGGTTATGATTAGAATTATGAAAATTAGGTATGAAAGAATTAATGGTTTTTATCTTGTTAGACTGAGTGGACGTTTCATACCTGGCTATCAACAGAAAGCACATATGCTTTGGTTTGATTGTGTGTACATCAGTAGGCTTCAGCTGTCTGTTGAGACAGCCTTCATGTGGTTTTGAATGAGCATTCTCACTCACTGAAATAGAGCAGGCAGCTGTGTTTCTCTTTCTCAATGTTCTTTACTCTCAGCCGTTATATTTGCCTTTATTTTTAATTTTTTTTTCACTCTTACTTTGAGAAATACCAACGTGACATCTTGTTCGCATGTGACAAATTATACATCGAACAATACTGGCTAGTATTTCTTACTTTTATTTATTTTGGCCCCTAAATCACACAGCTGTTCAGCAAGGTTAATATGCTATAGTGGCTCAAAAAATCTGACATCTCTTGGTAATCAGGCCTTCAAACAATAGGCCAAATGCATAGCCAAGAAGTTTTCAAGCTGTCAATTTATTTGCATAACAGTGTTTTTAATTTATTTTTGGAAGGGATTAGTCAGTTAGTATTACACAGCTGGTTGACTTCAGTCTTTTGCTGAGCATGTTCTATCTTCCCCTTACAAGTCTGCTGATCTTGCATTTGGAATCTAACCCTTTTAAAAACTCGGTGACTGTTGGAATTGCATGTCTCACCCCCATACTATTTCATAGTCTGCAGAAATTCAAAATGGATTTGGTATTAAATAAAATGGCAAAAGCTTCCTGGTAAAAGTGCAGATTTCATGAAATGTCGTCCTGTACAGGGTGTATCCTGCCTTACACCCTTTGCTGGAATAGGCTCTTGTTCCCTTGTGACCCTGTATTGGATAAAGCAGTTAGAAAATGTATGGATGGAAATTTCATTGGCACACACTCCAAAAATATAGGTAATTTTAAAAATATACTGTATACAAATAATGACACCGCATATCGAGCATAGCTTTCTCTATAGGGCTGCAGGACCATGCAGTCACTATGAAGTATGAAAGGCACATTAATTCTGGTAAAAACGTCACAGGCCACATACTGTAGGTGGCCTTTTCGGGCCATTTTTCGACTTGCCAAGTTCCCATAGCAAAATCCAACTACTCTGGATTTAAGCAATAAGTCACCGATTGCATCAGAAATTGTTTCAGTAAGCACGTTGTTGCATTATATTCTACTGATCTGTTTCGTAGGTCCATGATGACAAAACTTCCCCCTCTTTGCTTCTTTTGTGGTTCTTATTATGTTTTCTTTTTTCCTGTATCTTTCAAGTTTCCAAGCCTTGCACACAAACCTAACCGATTATGAAACTGTTTAACAATGCTGTCAACTACATACCACCGGAGTACTGCTGCTTCTAGTGTGGTATATTTTGCGGTTTATGATAGTTAAAGTGATCTTCACACATTGTACCAATGTGTAGGGTGTTCTTCTCAATGAGCACTGACAGATAAAAGAAAGATTACAACTCATAAACACACAAAAAATACCTTAATAGGACTTAAGACCTGTCTGCATAGATCTTGGAAGGCCTGTGTGTCTGTAGTTTTTCACTCTTACTCAAGTCTTAACTAGCTGAACCTAATGGTTTTTGGCTTAGCGGGACCAATTCAACAGCTTCTACCACCTCTTCTGGTATGGTTGTTTTTTTAAAGAGACCTTGAAAACCTGATACACTGACCTTCCAGAATCAAGATTTGATGTTCTTGGCATAGATGGTAGAGAAGTGCCTTTTAGCTGGTTGCGAGTTGTGTTTTAAAATCATCAGACATGGAAAGCGAAGATTTAAGACACAATACAGAGTTTTTTCTTTGTAAGAAACATATGAGGAAAGACAGGCAGAATGTCCCTGCTGTGAGTCATGACTACAGTTTTGTCTGTCTTTGTTGTTCTCTTCAGACATCCCGGGGTCCTCTGCACTCTGCCTGCCCTCCCTGCGTGAACTCCCTGCCCAGCTGCAGGACCTGTACCAACAAGGTTTTGTTCTGGCAGCTGTCCATGCCTTCATTCACCCGTCTGGTGTGGAAGAGGGTACTGTGCATGCACAGCTGTACAGAGCTGTGCTTGTCAAGCTGGCTGACAGGTAACCTCTTCCTTTCCTGAAAGTAAAAACCCCTCACTTTCTTTCCTCACATACTGGAGACAACATGAAAGAAGACCATGAAAATGTGGACAAAGTGTTCAATTCATTTATTTAGTAAAACAAAATAACTAGATTATACACACAATATTGATAAAAACCTACAGTACTGAAAAAGCAATACACATTTTTCGCCTGAAATTAACACTTAACCTACCTAGAGTTCATCTATGGTATCTAAAATATTAGATGCAGTTGTAATTATGTGAATTACAGTTTCTTACCATAATATTCTTGTTTAATCATAACAGGTCTTAAATAGCTAAAAGGATTTAAATCTACCAGTTCAATGTTTTTTGAAAGGTGGTGTATGAAGTAGAAAAAACTTATTGTTAAGAATCAGTGTATACTGTATGAAATTAGAAGAATGTCTTGCTATCTATTCATTAGCTGAAGCCGAGCCAAAAGTGGATCTTGCAGCAAGGTGATCCTAAATTTAAAGTCAGATCTACATGATGAAAGAAGAGAAGATGAAATTGCACATTTTAGATTGGCCAAGTCAAAGTTTGTACCCAATTAAATATTATGGCAAAATCTGTTGTGAGCTATTAATACAAGTTGATACAAGGAAATCCTTAAATACCACCAACTGGAAGCTGCTTCAATAAAGAACTGATAATAACTGAAAAAGTGTGGTGAATGCCAAAATAAATAGGCCTAGTTTCACTTCAGTGACTCTTTTACTAAGAGTCTTCCTGCTCCTTGTAAGAGCCCACTTATGGGGCAGATACAGACAGAAAGAAGCACCATGCAAACACTAGCAAAATACTGTAGGCTCAGATACATTTGCGCTTCCCCAGCTTCAGCCCAGCTACTCTTACTACTCTTACTGAAGCCTGAGCTAGGTGGATGCAGGGAAGTGTACTGCTGATAATATAAGGCCTCCCAAACTGTTACTCGTTAGCTCACCAAGTCTTTGTAGCTGTGGTTGCTTAGCAACCTCATCTCCCTGATGAGAAGTTCCACCTCCCTGACAATTACACCTCATTTTGTCACAGTACCAACACATACCATAGAGTTCTCTGGTCCTCAGGTGTTGGTGCTAGAGGTTTGCAGCTCGAAAGGTGTTTAGGTGTTTATGATGAATGTAAAAGCCAGTTTTAAAATTTTAAATCTGCACTTTGAAGTTTTCCCTTTGTAAGAAGCTGTGACAAACACAGCTGAGTCGTTTCCTTTATATGTTTAGTAGTGTACCAAGTAGATATGGTTTGCATGCTGTGCATCTTGATATGCCTTTACGGTCTGTTTTTCCCCGTGGTCATGATCAATCACTCCTGTACCCCCCTCAGTTAAACACATGACTGGACTGAGTGGAGAATTTCTCTATATGGATTTCTCCAGGAAAGCATGAGATGAGGGGTATTGTAGGGAGCTTATATTTAAAATCTCCATTCTTCAGTGGATGTTCTTTAGTTTCCCTATGACATTACTTCTACTGCTAATGTTTTTGGGTAAATATAAGAACATTTCCAATGTTTTTTTTTCTTCTATTTCTTGCTAATATACATATACATTGCATATATAACATATTGTTTCTGATTGCAGGGGTAGATTAGGGAAGGGAAATGACTTGCAATCATTCTATATTGTTTATGCGTCCTTAAAAGATAATAAGGAAATGTCTTTAAGAGAAAACTTAGAAATGATAGGAGGCAATTCAGGCCATCTTACCTATTTGATTACTAATTAAGTGAAACGAAGTTAGTCTTATGGCTTATTTCTAATACTTTCTATAACAGTAATTCTTTTTTATATAATCTGCAAATTTTACTAGTTTTCTAACTATACCGCAATCAAATCATTGATGTAAGAGCAGTTTGACCTTATACAGAACTTTGTTTACCTGTGAGAGATTTTCATGACAATCGCATTATAATCTATTTTGTTTGTGGTATGCGTAAAATTAGAGCAGTATTCTTAGCCCTGATCAGAAGCAGTCACTTCTCAAATGTAACCCAAATGTAACATTTCAGTTTATTAGAAGACCTGGAGAAGCTGCAGTCACATTCATAGGATGTGTAACAACACAACTATTGTGCAATTTACAGGCCATGAGGTGGAAAAGCAGGTCCTTTGGGATTAGACTTGAAAAAAAAAACGTTTCTCTGATCTCATCATCTCTCAGCTCCTGTCAAGCAATCTTTCTTTATCTCCCTGTCTGTCATACAGAAGATAAAATTGAAGGGTGAAAGCTGGTTTCTTCAATGTGAGCACATAGGGAATAGAAGATTTAAGTGTTCAAAAACAAAACAGAGTTTGTCTTGGTGCCCAAAATACTTTATTTGACATACAGTTTTTTGGAAAAGTATTGATACCTTTGTGCATTTTTGTTGCTTTTAAAGTTTGCAGTCATGAAACTCATAATTGCATAAGTATTCAAGCAGTTTTCTTTGCCAAACCAAAATGAATTTACAGTAATTTTACAAAAGAACCTTAAGAAACAATTAGATGATTGGCCTCCATGTGCATTAATTGGGGTTCTTTTATTCTAGAATAAATATACTTGTCTCTGTGAACTTCCTTGGTCAGGTAGTGGATTTCAATTAAAGAGTCAACCATGAATATTAATTAACTTTAAAGGCATGTTGGAGATAACATCACTGCTATGGGGACATTTACTTAAATGTTCTCAACAAATTAATAAAATCCCACTGATTTAATTCATTATGATTTCGGAAATCTACAGTGTAATTAATCATGTTAATTTGAATAATTTTAATTAAGAATTTTCAAATGCAGAATTTATTGTAATAAATCAGAAAAAAATAAACATGGAAATGCTGACAAAAAAGATTAATAAAATGTGTCAATTTCATCTTTTTACTGTTCATTGTGAAATACAATGTTTATTTCATTTTATTATTGATATCTTTCTTAATTATACAGCATATATATATTATTGAAACATTAAAATCTAAATAGTTAAAGGTAGAATTAAATAATTCTTATGTATAATTCTGGAATAATAGAACCAAACACTTAAAACACACATTTTTAAGCTATCGTATGTTTATTTGTAAGTGTAATTTATATAACATTTAAATGGATTATTTGAAAACTGAGTCTGTGCTGAAGGACAGAGAGATGCAGGTCTTAGATAGCAAGAGCTTTCAAGCAAAGAAATGGACTGGGCAGAGTTTAATTAACAGGAATTCTTTAAAGTTTAAGTCAAGCAAGCATTATCATCATGTGATTTTCACAGAAAATTAAAATTCCTGACCATGACAAGCATTGTAAAAGTGTGCTGTACTCTGACCCTATTGCACATGCTATACTGTAGATCAGGACCAGCTGCAGATGGTTTGTCTACTGTCAACTATAACTGAAACCATCTGATCAGGAAATGGCAGCAGTCTTTTAACACATCTACAACAGTGGTTTCCCGCTAGAGTGGCACTAGTCAGATTTGTATTCTCAGCCTGGCTTAGCCTGCATCTAAGGCTTCATAAGCACTGGTTGATTCACTTAAAAAATAAAGAGCTATTTTGATCTGCCGTGGAGTAACATCAACTTTGCTGTTATGTTTCACACTTGGCTCTCCCTGAACATTGTTGTTTTCTGTTCTGTTTTAGATCTTTCAAATTTAGTCAGGATCTTAGGAAAAAAAACTAATTAGCCATGTACTGTTGGAAGTATTTAAAGAAGTGCCCAAGAGGGCTAAACGATTCCACAATAATTATCTTTTGTCTGTATCATGTTACTAAGGTAATGCAAGCATAACATTTTTGGATCACAACAGGAATATGAAGTGTCGGGTTACAAGTTTACTTGCTAAATGAAGTGGTGTCATTTTTTCCTGTGGTGTATGATAGTATACCAGAGTATGATAGAGAAGCAAATGCTAAAATCCACCAAAATTCCCTATCACTGAAATTTTCCTGAGGTAGAATGTAAGAAAATCCGGTGTAGCAGTCAGTTGGTTTCTTCATTTCCTTTATTCTGACCAGGCGCAAGCAATCTTTGATTTTTTAAAGTGTTGCTACCACATTTTGTCAATTTTATGTAGGACATATCGATGTTTAAAAATCTGCCTCTTCAAGTTTTTTGCTGTTGTGTAAATCTATACTGAGAGGCACAAAATTCAAGAAATTAGTTTTGGTGTATTCGTTTTTTAATGCCTCTCAGTATATATTGAGATTTAGAATTTATGTTCTGGTCAGAGCAATAAAGAATAAATACATTTATGTATTTATACATTTATATTGTTTAGCTTGGTATTTGATATCAGGATCATACTTTGTATTATAATTTCTGTGTTATTGCAAACATCTCCATAAGGGACAAACTTTGCTTCAACAGGATGAGAAATCGGATAGAGAGAAATTACCACATTAACCTTTTTCTATATGGAATTAGATTTCCTATTTAGATTTTTGCCTGTGATATAAATAGATTATATGACAAAAATGTTATAAATACAATACCACATAGTAATTACAAATAAGTTCAGGTACTCTCTGCTGGGGATTTCAAACTTGTCCAGTTTTAAGTAGCACATTTATAGTTTATTTTTTAGAAAATGTCAAATTAAATGTAAAAGATGTATTTGTATTATATAGATTGTATTTTCAGATAGTTGATGTTATTATTTTGTCCTCGAGGATTCAAGACCTAGGAACAATTTGAAGTTCCATCAAGTTGAGCCTGTCATGTTTCACCTCATTATTCCTTGCATTTTCAACTGTTTCTACTATGCTTTCATTTCTCAAAATCAGCATTCTATGTCTTATTATTTCTCTCGATACTGAAACTGATTTTCCTGCCTTCCTGTTTTTGCAGTTCAGAAAATAGCCAACTAAACAATGAGCCCCAGAGACTGGAAATGGATATGTGCCTGTCTTCTGATCAGCTTCCTGGGGCAGAATTAATACAAGGCTATATGAAAAAAGTAAGTCCCCAGAGTCTAATAATTTGCTTTAGTTGTGATACTGAAGTGTATAATAAATGAATGTTTATGATTCATTCAGTTTGAGCTTTAGCTGAAGCAGAATCAAGTGAATTTGTTTTTCAAAGTTAGAATCCAACCCATCTTGATGGAAACCCATTGATGGAGTCATTAGGTTTTGCTTGGCAGCTCAGTAAATCCCCTATAGTATGTTCATTTATTCTTTGCACATAAAATTTACTCCTGCTTGATAGCAGGGGAATTCTATACAGCTATTAATAACACCTCTAAGGCAATGGGGAAAAGAAAAGATCTAATTAGAATTAAAGGTCCAAATGCATATGTTTTACTTATGATTTATTGACTCAAGTAATTTTTTTCCCAGATCCTATTTGTGTTATCAAGAGAAATACATTAAGCATGGCATTGTCAAAACCACCAGTTATAGACTAAATTCAATTTTATTTTAAAATTCTCATAAAAGGCCTCTCTATTAAAAATCAAGCAATGTTGAGTACTAACATTGAGTGCTAAATTTAAATCATGTAATGTAGTATGTATAATTACATTATGTGGTTTCAATACTGATAACAGTAGACATTTTATTCTTCACATGCATATATATCTTTAAAATTAAATAGCTTAATTGAAGACTTCAGTTTCATTTTAATAACTGTTTCCAAGATTATTTTATCAATTTTCAATTACTGCAGGTTTTAAGAAATGGTAAACCATTCATTTTTATGAATGTTTTCTGTGCAGATATTGTATTCCTTGCAATTTTTCATACAAATTAAATAGCAAACCCAGTGTCTATTAATATTTATGTGTGCATCTTCTCAAAGAGCAATAGCAATTTCCAGGGCCTTGCAGGATTTTATTAAAAGGATAATGGAACAAAATTCCATAACAATATTAACATTCTTTGAAAATTAACATTTGAATAGTATTTGACATAGTATACTAATATTTTCATTTCAAAATGCCAGCTGACAATGGAACAACTGTTATATCTTCAAATGGTAGAAGACAGTGCTAACACATTAAACATTAAAATCTATTCAGCTGATTAATCTGAATATGAGAAGTGAAACATTTACATATTCTGATCCTTATTGAAAAACAGATTTTGTGTGATATTTTGGCCTCTATTAAACTAAGAGTCTGCGATTGGCTGAAGCACACAATAACTATTAGTTAGAGGGAGCCAACTAATCTGGGGATCTGGAGTTTATCCCAGCAAGCAACTGGTGCAAGGCACAATATACACCCTGGATGGTATACCAGTCCATCGCAGGGCACACAGAGACACATAAACATGCACAGGCTCACACCAGGGCCAGTTTTCCCAGAAGCCAATTAAACTACCAATATGCCTTTGAACTTCTTGAAGCACCCGGAGGAAACCCATGTTTCCATGAGAACATACAAACACCACACAGATTGCATCCAGGGAATTGAATCCAGGGCTCTAAAGCTACACCATGTACAGTATATATAATTATTTCTGTACTTACAGTACATGTAAAAATAAGAATAACTTGCACTGTTTATCGCCTTGCTATATTTGTTTCTCCTCTCCTTCAGCATTTAGAGAGACACAGATTACATATGCTGTGTTTCATAGATAAAACTATCCTACAAACACTAAACACAGAGTGAGTGTTTTTCAAAGTAGGAATACAATCCAACCATAGAAAAAAAACCTGTTCAAATAAGGGCAGAACTTTATAGTAATGACACTAATATCTGTAAAACCAAGTTCAAAATCAGGAGCTTACCTCCATTGACAATGACCAGGATATGAAAAATGTACAAAGTTAAAATTAAGAACATGAACTCCACGATTAGCATTCCCCACTGAAATGAAATCAGCACTAAAACTGTCAGAGAGCATGCTGACACTTAACCGGAGTGTTTGTTACAATCTAAAAACGAGACCGCGATGAGATGCGGATGCTCGGTAGGGTGCACTTGGGCAGGCTGTAGGGAGAGGCTCATTCAGTAGTTAGATTTTCCCCCATGAACTAGTCTCTTAGCACTGCTAATTTGAAAGTTGTGCTTAAAGCTCTGTTTATTCCTTCTCCCCTCTTTTTTTTCATTCAAGGCTGTGTTGGCCAGATCAAATCACGAATAAGCATATTAGAAGATTTGTGAATGTTAAATTCACAGATATCAAGTGTGTGCTTGTCTGAAATTAACCAGTAACATTGTAAAACATGTTTATCCCACAAGTCCCCAAATCAATGCATGTATTGAAGGGGAATCTATTTCATTCACCACTGAAGTACAGCACCTGCCTGGTTGAAAAGCAACAATCATTAGGCATCAACAGTCCAACTAAACATCAGTACAGGTGGTGAAATTAAAACGAATTGAATTAAGGGAGAAATTTATGAAGATCAGACTATACTGGCTTTTTCAAAGTATAATTTCAACTAAGATATCAGGAATAATATCCCTGTTCTTGCAAACAGTACTAGGTGTTCTTTAACCACCATCATGGTTAAGCATCATGACCTTGTTTTAATGTCACAATAATGACACCCGATACAGCATAGTGCTCCCTGTCATTGTACTGTGGTATTGCTTTAGAATTTCTTGTCCACTGGGAAGGGATAAACCTTGCTTAGCTTTGGAGATCTGATGAGATTAGGCTGCAAGGTGATAATGATGCTGTATAATATTATATTGTGTTTACAGTATCACATTGTTATGCTTAGGTTTACAAATGTTTTTTTCTTACACAGATACTGAATGCATTATTAGTAGTGTGATAATTATTCGATGATCATGCTGTCTCTGAAAATATGAATGTCTCATAAAATGCTTTGCAGTGTACACACTGGACATGTAGGCTACAGTATGTGTCACAACAGGAGAAAGCAATCCTATTTGAACGACAAAATAAACTACATTATATTACTGACACAATCATAAATGCAAGGATTAGAGGAAGAAGGTAGCCTGGCTGTCTTATGTACTGTACATGCATCTATTGCCTTCATGTCCAGAGATTTCTTTTTTGAGACACCACTACTAAGCCTATTCTAGGCTTTGTTAACAGTAAGTACATGTGAAGGAAAATCTTTTCCTTCATGTCTCACTAATGCTGCTAATTAAGTTATTGAATTACATTGTCTTTAAAGTTCGACTTCATTGTCATTATACTCATACACAGGTATATGATATAACGAAATGCTATTTAGCTAGCTCTCAAACGGTAAGTACAGTAGAACCAAAAACAACAGTACAATTGTATAAGAAAATAAAGACAGAGACAACAGGCAATGTGCAAAACAACAACAGATAATGTGCAAAACAACATCAGTTGTGCAAAATCATACAGAATAAAATAAAGGGTAGAAAATTATGGGGAGTGAACTTCTTGACATGTGAGGTAGAGGTAGATTTCAATGTGTGTTTGAGTTCTGATAAAGAGAGAAGGCACTGTAAGGGTTCAGATCGTGGGTGAGAGAGGCTGGGAGTTTAATAGTTTGATAGTGCGGGGTGTCTCTTGAGTCTAGTAGTCTGGGCACGGATGCTCCAGTACCGTTTTTCAGATGGTGGAGGGTTAAACAGTCTGTAGCTGGGGTGTGTGGGGTCTTTGATGATGCTTAGAGCTTTCCTCAAGCACCGTCTGTCATAAATGTCTTTGATGGATGGGAGAGCAACCCCAGTGATGGACTGGGCAGTTTTCACCACCTGCTGTAGGGCTTTGCGGTTCGCAATACTGCAGTTACCATACCACACTGTGATGCAACCTGTCAGTATACTTTTTGTAGTGCATCTGTAAAAGTTAGTGAGGATCTGGGGACAAATCTTAGCCTTCTCTGACCATCTTAGGAAGTACAGGTGCTGTTGCACTTTCTTGATCAGACAGGTGGCGTTGAGAGACCATGTGAGGTCCTCGGTGATATGGACGTCAAGGAATTCGAAGTTACTCACCCTTTCCACTTCAGCCCCGTTGATGTGGATAGGGGCATGACCGTTTTGCAGTTTTCTGAAATCAACAATCAGCTCCTTGCTGACGTTGAGGGTGAGGTTGTTGTCTTTACACTATGTTATAAGGAGATTGACCTCTTTCCTGTAGGCCCTCTCATCATTGTCTGTGATCAAACCTACAACTGTGGTGTCATCAGCAAACTTAATGATGGAGTTGGTGTCATGTTTGGCCTAACAGTTGTGGGTGTCATGGGAGTAGAGCAATGGATTAAGCACACAATCCTGGGGGACCCCAGTGTTCAGAGTTAGTGTGCCGGAGGTGTGGATTCCAAGCCTGACTGCCTGGGGTCTGCCTGTCAGAAAGTTTATTATATCCAGATGGGATAGGGCTGTGTGTATGGCAATGGAGATTGCATCATCTGTGGATCTGTTGGGCCAGTAGGCGAATTGGTATGGGTCCAGTGTGTCTGGAATGGTGTCCTTAATGTGCCCCATGACAAGCCTCTTGAAGCACTTCATGATAACAGGAGTTAGTGCCACCGGACAGCATGTTGCTTGATATGGCTTTTATTGCAGAGATCTACTGGACTGTTTAATATATCTGTGCTACTGAAATCACATGAGTCTATCACACATAGACATGATTTGTTAATGACAAGTTTGAAAAAGGAATTTAGATTCTCCTTTTGAGATACAAAGTTCCAGTGTATACATTTGTATACATGCGTAAACATGTGTGTCCGTGCTGTGTCACATTCTTACAAAATGGTAGGAAAATCTGGCTTTTCCAAATTTTAAACCCAACAAATACAGTACAGGTTTTTATGTAGTTTAGAAACTCTAGCTGATCCTGTCATTCTCATTAGAAAGTAACACAGAATGTGCAAGTCATGTATATTCCTCTGACCATTGGAAAGGCGCATACATGCCACATTTTAAAAATGATGTGTTCAGAACTTCTTTTCCATGACTAAGGTGACTAAAATGATTGGTTATGTACATACAAAAAGGCCATAAGGCCATACTATACAGTATTCACTAACACTAAAACTTTAGTG